CCTCCCCTTCACTTCCCCAGGCCCCCCACCCCACCCCCCCGCCGGGAGCCACACGACGTGTGTGAAAGAGCCGCAGTTTGGCCACCCCTGCCGTACAGGGTGGTCTGCCCTGTGCAGGGATGATGGGAGAGAGAGAGCCCTGTCCTGGCTAGAGACGCTGCACCTCTGCTCTCTGCGCTTATGAGGCAAGAGAGGATTGTGGCACGAGCCGCACTGTAGCGTAGGCCAACTGCTTCACTGGCACACCCCCGGCATGGAGGGGTGAAGCAGTGGGTCAGAATCCAGTGGGTGCGCGAGAGGTCCCTCCAGTCTGTGACATTTCTGTGTGTGCGGCCCTGATGCTGAGCCTGTTCTCCTTCCTCTCCAGCCGCATTAAGAAGGTGGTGTCTGTCTATGGCAGCAGCATTGATGTGGAGCTCCAGCAGAGGGCAGTGGAGTACAACGCCTTGTTCAAGAAGTACGATCACATGAGGTGAGCCCAGAAGGGGCCCTGTGCCTTGGGGGAGCCTCCGGCCTAGAGCTGATCGACCTGTGCCGTGTGGGACCCCGCCTCACAGTGGCCCAAGGCTTCCCTTTCCCCGTGCATACCTCAGAATAGGAGTGAATAATCCTGTGGAAGATGGTGTAGCCAGATGCCCCCGGAAGGCATTGGGTGGCCTCTTGAGTAGTCTCCAGCGTTCCGGGGAGGGGGGGGGGCTCTGAAGGGGAACAGCGCCTCCTGCTGGCTGCTGGGAGTTGGTTTGGGTGCTCCACTAGGACATGGCTGTGCCACATCTTGACCCCGGGCATAGTCACTTGGCAGAGTAAGGCTGCTGGGCTTGGTGTAAGTAAGGCTGCCTGCGGAGCTGACCAGCCTGGACGGCCACACCTTTCGTGTCTTGCAGGTCAGCATTGCTAGAGAGAATGCCAGTGATGGAGAAACTCACCACCAACGGTCCCGCAGATGTCGCTCAGCCCAATGGGGAGGCAGAGCCCGTCGTCCTGGAGACCAAGCCTCCCGCCTCAGGCCTGCAGCCCACCAGCCAGGTAACAGAAGGGGCCGGTCCTCCCTCCTCGCTCCCGCCCCCACAGGCGGAGCAGGCTTGAGGCGGCTGGGTTCTCGTGCAGAACCCCATGGGGGGGGCCTTCAGGAGGAGAGGCCGTCGTGCCATGTCAGGAATTGAGGGTGGGGCCTGTTCTGAAGTCTCCAGAGCCTTCTGGCACTCAGACAGGGTCTGAGGCACGGACAACGTAGGCGTGTTGACTGGCTGGCTTGGTGTGGCTTGATTGGTTGTTTCTCCCCAGGCAAATGATCTGCTGGACCTTTTGGGAAGCAACGACATCACTCCAGTGATCTCAACAGCCCCTCCACACAAGCTGGCTTCTGCCGGTGGGGAACTGCTTGACCTCCTGGGGGACCTCAACCCGACTGGTGAGGTGCTGGGGGGGTGGCTTAGGAGGCCTCTTTGCTCTCCTGCCCGGGGGACGGCTGGCCTTCCTCCGCCGCTGGAGGCGGGCCAGGCCCTTGAGGGCGCCCGCTGACTCCTGCCCGTGCCTCCCTCTGTCTGCCGCCGTAGGTGCCCCCGCCCCGCAGGTGCCGCACCCCCCCTTTCTGCTGGATGGGCTTTCCTCGCAGCCCCTCTTCAACGACATCGCTGCCGGTAGGAGGAACGTTGCCGTGCTCCCTCCTTGGGGGGGCGGGGAGAGGAGGGGGCCACTGGGGGAGAGGAGAGGAGGGGGGCAGCGGCTCCGGCCCTGAGCTGGGCTCTTTCCTCTTTCCAGGCATCCCCACAGTCACCGCCTACAGCAAGAATGGGCTGAAGATCGACTTTGCCTTTGAGCGCTCCAACACCAACCCCAGCATCACCGTGATCACCATCCAGGCCGCGAACAGCACGGAGCTGGACATGACAGACTTCGTTTTCCAGGCTGCGGTACCAAAGGCGAGTTGTCTCTTTGGGGCGGGCGCTCTTGCCTATGCTGCAGCCAGTCCCCCCGAGTGAGTGGGGCGGGTGGTGGCTTCAGGGAGGCCCCTCTCAGCTGTGCGGTCGGAAGGCTGCCAGGGGGAGGCCTTGGGGGGGGGCCCCCGGCCCCCACCTCTGTCCAGTGGGGACGGGAGAAGAGGGACGGGGTCCCAGCCGGAACCGAGCCCCTTGCCTGCGCACCCTTGTGATCCTGAGCCCAGGTGAGAGCGCCACCCTCTCCTCCTCTCTGCTCCCCCTCCCCTTTTGCCCTCCTCCAGACATTCCAGCTCCAACTCCTGTCTCCCAGCAGCAGCGTCATCCCTGCATTCAACACGGGGACCCTCACCCAGGTCATCAAGGTCCTGAACCCACAGAAGGTGAGCCGGCCTCCTCCGCGCAGGTGGGGGGGGGGGGGGCTTGGCACAGTTTGTTTTGCCCCCTGCACTCTTCTCCGGCGGCAGCTGGGTCTGTGACCCCCTTGGGCTGGAGAGAGCCCGTGGATTGAGAAGCCCCTCGTCAGTAGCCTTTGCGTGCTGATCTTGAGCACATGGGGGGGGGGCAGCACTCTCCCTCCTTCTCTCCCCCAGCTGGCTGTTGGAATGAGGGAGTCGTTCTGGGATACGGAGAGACTCCCGGCTCCCTTTGCGCTCTGTAGTCCTCTTGGCCAGCATGGCGGGGCCGGGGATTGCAGTGATGATGATCCTGCCGGGGTCGGGGCGTGTCCTGGGGAGCCTTCCTGCTCTTGCCGCCCTTGTGGGAAGACGCTCACCTCTCCTCTCCTCGTTTCCTTCTCGTTGTAGCAACAGCTCCGCATGCGGATCAAGCTGACATATAACCACAAAGGAGCCGCGATGCAGGACCTGGCAGAAGTCAACAATTTCCCCCCTCAGTCCTGGCAATGAGCTCTGGCCCCGCCCTCCTCACACCCCGCCTGTCTGATCTCCGAAGGAACTCTGGGCAGGGCACTGTGACTCCAGGCACCCCCCTGACTGCACCAGCCCCCCACCCCACCCCCGGGAGCTGCCGAAGGAGAGCCGCTGCTGCTGCTGCTGCTGCAGAGCGGGAGGACTTTCCTTGCTCACTTGGAAGCATCTCTCTTCAGACATCTGCTCTCCTCCCCTCCCCTGCCCGGGTCGCTGAGCCGTCCTTGCCTCCGAAGCCGCTGCGTCCCCCATGCTTGGGGAGGGGGAGGGGGCGTGCGGCAGCACGGGCACTCCCCCCCCTCTCGTCTTGGGCACCCACCGGGGAGCAGCTGTCTTCTCTCCAGTAGGCAGAGCCGGGGGGGGGAGGGGTGGCGGCGAGGCGGGCCTTGGGGGTTGATATTCCTTGCTAGCTGGGTTACTACTTCTTCAGGCACTTTCATGTTGGAAACAAATTCCAAGGATGCTGATGATCCTTTTTCTTTGGGGTTCCCTGATGTTTGGGGGCCTTTTCTACGCTTGACTGCACACCCCACGGATAGGGTAGCGGCTTGGATCTGCGAAGGGGGGGCGTGGGGACCGGTGGGATCTGCTCTTCTGGACAAGCCCTCCTTGGAGAACTTGGGGCTGGAGGTGAGCAGGACCTCCCCCACAATCCCTGGCTGCTGCCCCCCACTCCCGAAGTGTCGGGACGGACGGACGGACTGCTCCAGCCAGGGGCTCCTCGGTGGCCCCCCCACCCGGCATCGTGGGACTCCTGGGGTCTGGCCCTTCATGGCCAGCTGTGGTAGGTGGGTGGGAAGGAAGGAAATGCTTGATGCTAGGTGAGGTACGTAGAGATGGTGAGGGGCCACCCTTTGCCTGCAGGAAGACTCATCGCCAGGTTTCGCTGCAGAGTCGCTTTCCCCCTTGGCCCTTTTCATTTCCTGTCTGAGTCCCAGATTCCATTTGAACTCGTTCTCCTCCTGGGACGTTTGTGTTGTATCTGTAATATTGGCACTGAAATAAAGACCGTGCGGTTGAACAAGGCATCGTTCTTCCCGTTGCTGGCCTTGCAAGCACGGGGGCCCCCAGGCAGCCGTTCTCCCAGGAGAGCGGTCAGTCCCTCGCCGCGCAGGGTGGCATCCCCCTTCGGACTCACCACAGCCCTGCGAGGTCGGTCAGGATGAGAGGCTGAGTGGCTCAGGGTCCCCCCAGATGTGAGCGTGCCACCTCTGCCTGGGCGCGGGTGGGTCCTTACCTGACCTCGGAGGAAGGGGTTGCCAAGGAAGGTCCGGCTCCTCTGGAGGGAAGGCACACTGCTGCTTGGGAACCATCCCCTCTGCTTGAGAGCGGGTAGTCTGCTTGAGGGCTCCGGGGTTTTGTTGGGACTCTCTCCTCCTCCAAGGCAGATGCGCCCCAAGGTCAGGCGTTGAATGAGGAGACATTTGGCAGAGCAGTCTTTGACCACCAGCCCGACCGCCTGATTTCTTTTAGCAGGATGTTGCCAGGAATTGAGCCTGCCAGGTTCAATTTCTGGCAATCTCCCGTTAATGAAAGAGACCAGGTGGTTGGGCTGGGAAAGGTGTTTCTGTGCTTGAGACAACGTGGGCTCACGACCAGTCAACCCTAACCAGACAAGTTCAGGTCGCTGCATCTCCAAACCTGCAGGGGTTGGGGGGGGGGGGTCCTTTTTCTCTTTCTTCAAATGCTGCAACTTGGGGGCACACAGTGAAGGTCGGTGGGCAGCTGCTTCAGGGTGGACAAAAGGAAAGTACTTCTTTATTCAAGGAGTAATTAAATTGTGGCATTCACTGCCCGTGGATACAGTGACCGCCACAAAAATAGATGGCTTTAAAACAGATTCATGGAAGACAGGCCCAATCAATGGCTACCAGCTAAAGGGAGCTGGTATATCCCAAAGAAATCTTTCTGGAGCCCTGTGCATGGTGGCAACATTCCGGGGGAGGCTTTGCGATCTGGGTCCTGGAGGAGGAGGGAATGGCTTGGAAGGAGCTGCAAGGGCAGCCTCCGCCACAGCTCCAGATCTGCCAGCGGCCCCCCCCCCCCCCCCCCCACTGATAGATCTCCCCCATCCCAGGCTGCTCGAATCACCCTCAAGCTTCTCGGCCTTCCCAGTCCTGCAGCGCCTGCATCTCCTCTGAATTCTGCTTCAGAGGAGATGAGCTGCCTCCGACCATTGGGCTTCAGCTGTCACTTCTGCACCCCTCTCCATTGCTCTTCCTGCTGGAGCCCGATACCGGTGCTTAGCACCGGCCTTGCCCCTCTGTGGCCATGGAGCGCTCCTTCGCTTCAAGTCTCCACACACACCACCTCAGCACCTCTGGGTGGAGACACTGTTGGCCTCGCAAGCATCTTGAACTCTTGAGCTCATGTCCTCTGAAAGGTTGGGTGGAGATGTCTTTGGAGGCTTGGCCCTTGGAATCCACGGCCAGTGGCCTTTGATCAGTGGAACAACCTTCCTCGGGAGGTGGTGGGCTCTCCTCCTTTGGAGGTTTTCACACAGAGGCTAGATGGCCATCTGACAGCAATGCGGATTGTGTGAACTTAGGCGGACCATGTGAGGGAGGGCAGGAAGGGTTGCCTCAGTGCTTAGTTCTCACGGGCCTTTCTTACATGCCCAGGGAAATGCCGATCGCCACTTTGGGGCCAGGAAGGAATTTTTCTCCAGGGCAGTTTGGACAGGGATCCTGAAGATTTTTTGTCATCTGGGCGTGGAACAGCGGTCGCTGTGGGTGGGGGGGGGGGAGGTATTTGTGAATTTCCTGCCTTGTGCAAGGGAGGTCCCTTCCAACCCTGTGATTCCAAGTGCAATATTGGGGTGTGTGTGTGGCCAGTAGGGCTTTCCTGGGACTGCTGTTTCTCACTGTAGCCTTTGGTGCCCTGCAGGGCCACCATTATGTGAGGGTGGTGGTGTTGTAGCGATCAGAGTGTCGGATGAGGGTATCAGAGACCCATGAAGGTTGAAGGGTTCAAGACACGACACAAAGAAGACAAGACACAAACAGCTCTGCAGAAATCTGACTGTCCCAGCCAGGCTGGGCAGCGTTTTATTAAAACTTTCCCCCTCCTTTTTCTTCCTGCTACGTATTTAGTAATTACAAGCATACTATGGAATGTGTTGTGCAGACAGCACACTCTTATCTTTCCCCGTCTCTCTGCCAAGTTAGCTTCACACGATGAGCTCAGCAGATGTGTTTACCTTGTGCAATTAGCACTCTGTCACTCTGGTTCCCAATCTCCAGGCAGGAGTAGTGAATTCCGGGCTTGCCACGCAGAGAACACCGTTCCTACTGACCCAGGTTCAGATCTCCGCTTGGCTGTGGAGGTCGCTGGGTGACCTTGAGCCCGTCTCCCACACTCCGTCTCGCCTCCCTCACAGGCCTGTGGTGGAGGGAGAACCATGCAAGCCCCCTGGGGAGAAAGTGGGGGAGGTACACACATGGAATAGATAGGCCAGGCTTAAAAAATCAGGAACCTTGCGGTGTGCAAAGACCAGGGTTTACTGTTGCCAGAGCTTTTGGGGACAACAAACAGCCCTGTTTGTCAGATCATAGAATGTTAGTTGAAAGGGACAGCCCTACAACATACCCGAAAGATGGTCGTCCAGCCTCCGCTTGAAAACGTCCAGCAAAGGAGCATCCACCACCTCCCGAGGCAGTCTGTTCCACTGCTCAACCACTCTTACAGTCAGGAAGTTTCTCCTGATATTTAGCCGATATTGACTCCCTTGTAATTTCCACCCACTAGATCTAGTCTAGCCATCCGGAGCAAGAGATAATAGATCTGCTCCATCTTCGACATGACAGCCCTTCAGATACTGGAAGACTGCAATCATGTCCCCTCTAAACCTTCTCTTTCTCAGGCTAAACAGACCCAAACTCTTTCAGCCTTTCCTCATAAGTCTTGGATTCGAACCCTCTCACCATCCTGGTTGCCCTCTTCTGGACACGCTCGAGCTTGTCAACATCCTTCCTAAAATGTGGTGCCCAAAACTGGACACAGGACTCCAGGTGAGGCCTGACCATAGCAGAATAGAGCGGAATGACCACCTCCCGTGGTCTGGACACAGTGCTTCTGTTAATGCTGGGTTTACATACAAGGTTATGAGGTGGGGGGAGTTGTCAGCTGTGTTAACAACAGCTGTATTGGATCATACAGTGGCTAACGGGTAGGCCAGGAAAGGTGCAAAGGCTGTTCCAGCCCTGCTGTTGAGCAATTCCTTCATAACTTCCTGAGCCCAGGCAATGCCCACCCTGCACATCTGTGGAAGTGGGTACTCACCCACAAAAGCTGCTCCTAGAGCAGACAAACAAATGCTGCTACTCCTCTGGCAAGGTGCTCCATGGGACGCCCCTTCTGCAGGAATTTGGCAGGCTTCTGGATGCCTGATGGAGAAGAGAGCTTGTGGAGCTCTTTGGGCAAGAAGTCCCCCACCCCGGGCAGCATGAGCTCTGGCTTGTGGAAACTTATTCCTGGCTCCATGTTTTAGCACTCCTCTGGCACTCAAAAGGGTGCTAGAGGAGTGGTTTTTCTCTGGCTGTAAGGGGAGGGGGGGGTTAAAAGCCTTTTTCACCTATCTTAAGTAATAGTACGGAAACATTTACTGGGCCGCCTCTCACTGGCTGTGCCCCTGGTGACTGCTCTCTGCATGCTCCCAGTGGAAGGAATTCTCCCACGCAGCCCCTTCCCATGGAGGACGCTGGGCTTGACCATCTTAGGCCAAGTTAGCTCCTCTGATCCAGGATGCTTAACTCACCTGCCTCTGGGCCTCTTTCTCTCTGGAAAAAGTAGCATTTGGAGGTGAGAGGAAGTAGCGGGCCCATAGCTACAGTGCAGCACTTTGGTGCCACACCCCTTAATTAAAAGCCATGCCAGAAAGCATTTTTTAGACTGTTAAGCAGCCGGGTCTCTGCCAGGTGCCAGGGCAGCGAGAGCGCGGGCGAGGAGGCTGCTGTGCTGTACAGGGGACGTGCACCTGTGCTGGGGAAGAGTCACGTGACGACCTGGTCATGTGTCCCAGCCAGCACAGGCCCAGGCGCACGGAAGAGAGGCAGCACGGCAGCCTCCTCGCTCACCTGCTGCCCTGGCCGTTCATGTTAAGTCAAAGGTCATGAAATTAAACTTAACTTGATAAACTTTATTTTGATTGACTGCCCCCTTAGAAATTTAAATGCTCCCTGACCCAAAAAAATCCCACCTACGGCCTGGGAAGCAGCCCCTCCTCTCCTCGAAATCCCATTCCCCTGACCCCAGAGCAGGTGACCCTGTCTTGGCCGGCGGGACGAGGGCAGGTGAGTGAGAGCAATGGAAGGAAGAGTCCAGGAGGGCTTCAAATTCAGTCAGCTATGCAGCTGGACAGCTGTTGGCCAGCATAAAGTTGTTGGAATACGCTGATTTGGACCACGTCTACTGCCAAGGTGGCCAAGACCATATTTTTATTGCTCAGCACAATGATGTACTTTTCCATACAGAGAGGCATGATACGATGGACCAAAGAGGCACGACGTCGACTCCAGGTTACCCTTGCCCTATTGGTGTGTGTGTGGGGGGGTTGAGTCCCCCTCTGCAGGGCCTCCTTTGCCACCAGACAGTCAGGCTCGCCGTAGGGGCAGAAGAAATGGGCCTCCCGATGGCACCTGGCACTTTTGGACTGCAAGGAGATCAAACCGGTCAATCCTCAAAGGAACCACCCCTGACTGTTCCCTGGGAGGCCAGAGACTGCAGTTGAAGCGCCAGTACTTTGGCCCCCAGAGGAGGAGGAGGAGGGAGCCCTCCTTGGAGAAGAAGGCCCTGGTGCTGGGAAAGACTGAAGGTCAAGGTGTCATCGAGGCAGCCACGAAGGTGAAACGGAGCAGACCCCTGAGGACGGCGGAAGACACGGAGGAGGAGGGCCCCTGGCTGTGAGGGGGTCCCTCGTGGGGTCGAGAAGAGCCGGGGACTGAAGGAGGACAACAGGCGATTTTGGCCACGGTGTGCCACCGAGTGTGGGACCGGACGGGCCACTGGCCTG